CGCACCCGCGGTCTTCGGAACTAAATGAAACGAAAAATGTTTCGTTTTCCCGTATACGTAAATATACGTAAATACGATATTCCATTCGAATTGAATTTCTTGTTTCGTATATATTAAATGCGAATCGTGATGGGGTATACGGAACTCGTCTCCGTATTCGCCGCCCACGGTAAACGCCGAGTTTTTTTTTTTCGATTATTTCGTAAATCGTTATGTTTCTCCCTCCTCCCTTCCCCGTTATAAATCCATAACTTAATATAATCGTAATTTCGGTAAATATTGATATTTTGTTTCATTGCCCGTGAAATAAAGTATGAAATCAAAAAATACAAAAACACAACTACGAAAACAAACGAAAAACACGAGAAAACATCCGGCGGTGGTGAGGTTAAAAAAGAAAAAAAATCGTGTCCGAAATAAAACGAAATACAATCGCGTGAGCGATTGGATTTTTATAAAAATCGAGTCCTACGTACGTATACGCACGGTAAATTTATATTGTAGGGGAGAGGGTACTGCACGGTTTTTTACGGAAAATTAGTGAAAACGAAAATTTTACGTTTTGCATTTGGATTGCGAGCGTTAGGGTGGAAATCGGCGTTTAAACGCAATTTTAAAAAAAAAATAACGAGGACAACGTCGACGGCTGTACCGTGATATTTGTTTGCTAAATCGAATTGTCGTACGAAAAATACTTGAGGTCACGTCAGTTTTTGAGTTCTTTAAACGGCTTCAGTTTTTTAATATCACGCGTTCGTTTGAAGATTATACAACGATTCAAAAACTATAAGATCGCAATTATTCATGTTCTCAGTTACGTAATTTTTTCACGCGGCACGTTATCACATGCGATAACAAGCGACATATTTTTGTAATTTTATACGCACCCACATAAAATTATCCATGTAAAATTATTTATCATTTATATTATCACAACAATGTAACTAAAAGATTCAAATACGGCCGAGCACTTGGTATTTTCTAAAATGCAAATAATTCAATAACCATAATGAAGCGTTTGCTATTCAAGAGGGATGTATACAATATTATCTACAAGCAAAGTAGTTTGAAGTGTATCAAATATAGTAAAAATCCACGTCATCTGCTGCGGCCCTTTGGGGACACACAGCCGCCTCAGTCATACTATTGTACATCTTATTTTTACAGTTCGATTATTAGTTATTCTATATGGACACCGTCACGAAAGCCGTTTGGTCCGGATTTTTGAGCCCACAAACTGTAACGATTTTTTTATTTTGCTTTTTTTAAAAATATGAAATTTAACGGTTTTTCCAATTGAAAATCGAGCGTCTTGACCGCTTGAAAAATCCCGAGACGAACACTGTCGAGAACCCTGCACGCAGCAACTACTACGCTCCACTAACTTTTTTTGAAAATCTCTCTCGAATATCCAGCTCCGATTTTTAGTAGCTATAATCAATTTAAAGATTAGCATTTATTATCTGTGTGTATACAGGTGCAAAGTGTTAGTTAAATAAATTAGTTTATTTCAATTGAATTATGACTGCTGTCCAACGACTCCAGGATCACGTGAGGATATCTACTGGTATACACCCAAGTGTTTCAACACCGCGGGCAGAAAAAAAATAATAATATTTTTCTTTATTTATTGATCTCATCACCATTCTCGGATTCACGACTCCGATTCCTCTTCGAACATCGGAAGGAAGGTAGCAATATAATTAGTAAGCTTAACTTTTATTATATTTAAAAATAAATCATTCTTTGGAGTACCAAAAACTAAACCAATTGTTTTATATTGTATAAGTACATTTTTAAATCTGCTCTTCTACATAGTAGCCTATTATTTAAATTTTCTTTCTCTTCCATTACTAAATACAGTGTTTGACGAGTTTTATTAAATTTCCTATTTTTTTGTATCACTACATTTTTAATCAGAGAAATGTTTCAGGCGTCGTACTTATTCATATATTTTGTTCTCTGCAATGCAACTTTACACCGTAGTGCTCCCGATTTTATAAATTGTAACCGCTCATCAAGAGTGTACTCTTATATAGGTACCGAAGAAGGAGGGCTTAACAAGTCAACTTAATAATAAACATACAAACATTGAAATTCAAAATAATTACGATAAAATGGAATAGGGGAAATGACGGAAATAATGGAAAAATAACGAAAAATGACTACAAAAAAAAAAAAAAAAACATCGATTTGCTCGAGACCGAAACATTGGTCACCGCAGCAATTTTTACCAGATTGACGTGGGTACTTACAGTTATTTGTAACGGTTCGTCATTAATCATTCAAGATTATATAATTTCAGTCAATAATTTTATTGAAAATAATGATAATTAATAATAATTTTTACCTCTGCTCCGTACACCTTAAATAAGTATGTACTTTTGATTCATGTATCAACATTTATAGAAAAATATTGTCTGTTCGAATCTGTGTTTGAAAAAATTGGGGGAGGGGTTCCTATTTGAAAAACAAAAGTCAACAATTATTTAGAATACACAGAGTAGGGTTAAAACATAAAAAAACTGTTTTAAAACAAAGCTTAATAGATTCGATAAAACAGAAATCAAATTCACTTTAAATTCTCCGAGAAATTTCTACATGGTTTGGAAATTAAAAAATAAAAACAAAAAATCACTGTATTTTATACAATTTATAACAGTTTTTCGATATAACAACCGTGATGATTAAAGTCCGAGATAAGCTCGTAAAATTTATAAGAAGTTTAATTTTGGCGTTCATTACACGGACGCGGGGAGTCGACGACGATAATATACTGCAGGGATTCGGACAACGGCGGCGTCCCCCTCTCGAAACACATTTAAAAGCAAAAATCCGAGGAAGAAAAGAAACAATTGTTTTCGACCACACCCCTACCCCATAACCTCCTTGCCATCTGTCCGAAGACACGGATTCGCGTATCGAACAAAGGGACGTTTCGGACCAAGATGGACCGTCTGGGCGGTGGTTTTCGAAAACCCTAAACGGAGGACGAGTATTTGAGGTTATGGTCGGCGGATTAAAAAAAAAAAAAAAACGAAAAACAATAAACAAAAGGACGTTGCTGTTGTTGAGCGGGCCGCTGTTGTAGGCGAGAAAACAGTAAGGTAGAGGGAAAATTTAATGTATGTGACTATTAGACACAGCTAACAAACAACTATCCTGAGTGGAGTATATTACCAGTCGTATTTTTTTCCATAGTCACCAAAGTCAGTCTGAAAATCGACAAAAATCGCACAAAAGCACAAATGCCTTCGGTTAATTAAGACTACAATAGGAATTGCCACTTCATCGCACCGACCGGACCAGAAATGTTTAGTGGCTGATTTAAGGATGTCACGATCAACTGTATAACGTTTTCGGAAAGAAATTAGTGACGTAAAATTATTAAAATTAAAAATATTATAAATGAACGAAATATTTCACAAATAGTCTCTTTTATAACGTCCGTTTTTATTGAATTTAGCATTATTTGAAAAAATCGCCACGTATTGCCGGTAAAGGTAAAAATTACTTTCAACCGTTAATGAAGTGGAGAAATTTATACTGCCGTATTATACCCGTTACGATGTTCACGGGCGAAAGGTATTTATCAACCGCGAAAAGGATCTCATTTCGTAAATCGTATTCGAGGTCGACTAGCCGGGAGAAAATCGTTTGAATGGGCTAACGTCGGTACTACACAACGTAAAATGCGTATACAACTGTTATTACTCTGCTATTCGTCGAATTATTACAATTTTTTACGTACAAAATTATTCTAAATAGAGCTAGGCATGTATTGGTTTTACAATTATGTTTTATTTATTTTTTCTACCAGAAAGCATACTCCGATTATCGAGTATAGCACCTGAAAGAAAATATTTTCTGGGTGGTACTCTGGTAGAGAGGTAATTTTTTGAAATTCTTATTTATATTCTGGATAATGCGGGAAACCAGGTACTGTAGGTTAAAAAATATTGAAATATTAAAAATAACTTTGTCATTGGCTTTTATTTATGTCTATTATTATTAAGTTTTTGTTATTTTAAATATTCTTTAAACAATCATTTTTGTCATGAAAACGCACATTATACATGGCGTATAATATATTTTTGACAAAGCATCATTATCGACTGAATTCGGCTCAGAATCGTTTTTTCGTTAGCAATGGTTTATCGTTGCTCACGGTTATACATTCGATTCTCTTCTGTGTCCTACCTCTCCCTAACTTCATACTCACAACACTGGCTGCACCCACGTGCGATTTTTCACTAATTTATTATACTACACATTTTTTCGAACGTATTATAATTAATCGAATTTTTCAAATACACAACAATTCAAGTATTGTACTAACGCGTGTTCTTCCCGTTTAATAATGTTAAGAAAGACTTCGTGCCCCCTTCTCTTTTTCTCTCCCCACCCCCCCAAAAAAAAATCTAAGATCCGCCACTGAAAATGCTATTGCAATAACGTTCCTATATATATATATATATATAATACAAAGTTTTCGGTCGGTACGTGATTTCTGGTGGAAACGTTGTTCGCAAACCGCACGCGCACGCATAACGGCAAAACCAATACGTTCGCCGTCTGTAAAGTAATAATTTTTTTTTTTTTATAATAGTAAAAAAATACAAACGAGAAAACCTATACATACAAACAGAAACACAATATTCAAAAGTAAATAATATTATCCCGCGTATTTATTATGTAACTCGCGAAGAAATCACGTTTTATTATTAGCCGCGGCTGTCGTTCGATAAAATATTATGTTTAGACGTTTGTTTGATTTTTTTTCTGTCTTTTGTTTTTCGTTTTTTTTTTTTTTTTTTTTTTTTTATTGCAGCGCGGCGTTTTCCGCGTATTATTGTCATAAGGTTTTTTGATCGCGCCGCGGCGAATCAATTCTGCTATATTTACTCATATTTAGTTGAATAAATACAACTCTCGCGTTTTTTTTTTTTTTTTTTTTTTTTTTTTTTTATCGTGCGCACCAACAACAATACGCGCGACGTCGACAATATCCCACGTATATTTCTTTATGAACGCGCGGGGCGCGAACGGTTTTAATACATTAAAACGTTTAGGAAAAAAAAAAAAAAAATCCTTTCGCGCGGAGTAGGTACTCGCCGTAGCGTTTTCGATTCTAACGCGGCGGACGGGAATCTGAAACCGTTCACAACACGAGACGTGCGCACACCTATAACTGCGGGGCCTAAATTACTGTATCCCCCGACACACTTTGCGTCCCCTCAAAATCATAATGTGTCCATTGAATTATAAATGCTTTTAGTTTTTGATCGTAGAAACAACAAACGGTTTGGAATTTCACCACAAACAAATCACGTTTATGTCAATATACTCGTGTATATAAATCAATAAAAACGTTCTCGTTAACAATACTATGCGAACGTACGATAAACTTTAATCATCACGGTCGACGATTATAAATATTATATGACCGAGATGTACTATCATCATCAATCGTGAATATAACGTATATACCACGTGTTCATACTATGTACTGTACGTAGATAATCTTGAATTTGTGACAATAGCATATTGTAGTTATTATTGTTCTGCCGGTGTGTCCGTGTAACTTTTAGTAAAATATTTTGGACTGTTACTCGTGTTTTCAGTCCGAACGTCGTGTGAATAATATAAATGTTTAAGGTAAGCGGTACATAGAAGGTGGGATATTTTCGGGTGTTTTAACACCCCACAAGTTTTCTCTCCTACGGGGACCTGTCAAAAGTCACAACTGAACTAAGAAGTGTGTCCCATGCAAACAGAATGATTTCAGGCCCTGCAGTGTACTGTTTCAGAAAACGACACTTCGTCGATAACTATAACGACGTGCGCGGTTTTACTTACTGCGGACGCCGCTCATAAGACCGGGACCGGCGCGAAGTGAGTCTTACATCTATAGACGCGGTTTGTATTCCCTCATAATCCAAAAGCGGTGTTTAGACATTAGAAATGTGACGAACTCTTCGGTTTTCAAACAAAATACCCGATAGTTCGGTTCGAAAATCATTCGATGCCGATTCTGCGTGGTCATTAATACGATTTTCTGTGGCGAGACTGAGCGGCCTTGTTACGAAAAAGAAAAATTCTGTTTTTTCGCACAAAAATATTGTAATTGCACAGTATGACAATTTTTAGAATTTGTTGACCTGACCTAACCCTTTTTACTTTTTTAATGTTCGAGTTCGATAAAATTATCGATTTTTTCGTTAATTTTAAGGAAAGTTCGGTTCGGTTTAGTTCAACCTTAAAAATCAGGATTCGTAACATCTCTATTAAAAACATCAAAAAATCCACGAAAATTTCCAAAAATACTTAAAAAGATAGGGGGTTTAAAATTTCAAAACTAATTTATTTTAAAATTTTATTAAAAATGTAAATATGTTTTACGGAATTTGAGTCTTGTAATTTCTTTTTAACATATTTGGATCTGTCCGGATCGTTGCAAGCGATTTTGAACCTTTTAAGCGACTGGATATTATATCCGTGTGTGTCTTTTAAACATCGTTTACCGCAATTGGTTTATTATTAAATTTTCTGGAAAATTCGACAAAAACAACCGTGACGTGAATATACCTTTGTTATTTTGAATGAGGAATTTAGGAATTATTAAGGAATTTAGGTTAAGTATTTTTCGAGAATTTCACTTCATTTCACATAAACGACTATAACAACAACGTATAAGAAGCGATTTTATAAACACTATCATAAAACAAAGAATTTTGTCTACAGGAATAATACGAGTATGTATACTGGGTAATTCTTTTAATCATGAACCAGCAATTATCTCAGGGGTTTTTAAGCGTATTTGATTTCTGTTTTTTCTAATCGATATGGAGTTGCTTATGCTTTATTTTAAAACTATTTTTAATTATTACCCCTACTCCATATACTTTAAATAAGTGCATACTTTTGAGTTTCAAATCGGAACCTCCCTTTTTAAACATAGATTTGAATAGAAAATATTTTTCTAGAAATATTGATACGCACAACATTAATATCAGTTTTACCGTTTATGAGTTATAACAGTTCAAAATGTAGACCGGAAGAGTAGGGAAGTGTAATAAATTGTCAAGCTTAAACGATTCCATAATGATTAGAAAAAACAGAAATCAAATTCACTTAAAATCCTCTTAGATAATTGCTGGTTTATAATGAAAAATCGCCCTGTATACAAGTGTTCAATTGAGAGGCTTTGATATAATCGGAAAAGTATATCCTTATAACTATAGGAACCCGTTTTCTATTGGCTACTTTCACGAGTGTCGCCATTTTGCGATTTTTCAAATGTTCTCTCGCCGTGTAAATATATCGCGGGAGTATATAATACCATTAGCGCTATTATAGTTTACTTAGTCGCCACTCCGAAAGTAATCATGTAATACTGCGTAATCACAAAATGGCACGTCCCATAAAATGTTGATAAGAGCAGTTCTCCACTTGCTTGTTATAGTATATAGGCTCTCTAGTATTATTTTCGAAATGTCACATTGATTTTCTCTGCTTCTCATTAATCACAACTATGCCTATTATAAAGACTTCCGCGCTATTTTATAACAGCATACAATTAATAATATTCGCTCGGCTTCCTCGACTTTATAAACCGTAAACTCCCACACATTTCGTCTGATTGAGTGTGTTTAGAGAACGGTCCTCCGGACGGTTCCATTCGAGCGCAATATTACTTGCCCACCTCATGGTTGTTTACGGTGCATCCTTGTTTACATCATTCCTTTAAAACCTTGCCGCTCGGAGGCATTTTGCACAGCTTCGTTTTATCTCTAAACTCGTATCCAATCAAATTGATTTTGCTTCTCTATCGGCGGATGTCAATTCCATTGTTAATTTGTAACTAAACGATTTGTTTGACCGCAAAAAAGACCCCTGTTGATTTTTAGTCCAATCGATGTAATAAACAAAACGATGCTTTAAAACGATATAAAAAAAAAAAAAACCATAAATCAAATTCAATTAAAATTCTCCGAAAAAATTGGCCGGTGTAACAGGCGAATCTCACCCCCAGGATATTCTTACCTACCAGGTGGTAAGCTTTGTTTAGGGTATTCTTACACTTCCTCACCCCAGGGAGAGCAAGAAAAAAAAAAATTACTCTGCGTAGTACTTTACGCGTTTACAGTCGGGTATAGTACAACGTGGAGGATTGCGGTATCACGGAGTTAAATTTCGCACGGTGACACGGTTTGTGCGCGGCCGTTGCGCGCCGACCCAATTGCGTGTTCGACTCGTCGCGATAAAGCCGCGAGGTCGGAATGTCCTGCCCCGGCGCCCGCCGGAATACCAGCCGGTATCGTTTTGGTGCGTGATATCGTACCGATAAATATTGCGATAACACAGAAATAAAGGTATTGTCTTTTACACCGTATGACGCGTAAAAGCGGATTTTTTTTTTTAACCGTTTTATAACAACGCGTACGGCATTCACCGTGTTATGCTGGTGAATACTGTGCGTGGGCGTCGAACAATGATTATTTTCGCCCGAAAGTCGCCGCGTCGTAAACCGTACGCGCACAACACACGCACGGTTATCGTAACCTATGCAATATAGTTTGAAAAACAATTACCCGGTCGAGTCACCGTTCGGGCGAATCGAAAATATTGAAACGTAATAGTAGAATTTGAGCGTTTTAAACGGACGATACATCGTTTGTTTTGTCGGTATAAAGGCCACCGAGACTCGTCATAACCCATCGATCTGTTATCGGTACGACAATCGGTTCCACGCGGATTCTGCAACGGTCCCGTTAAAACCGCGCGAATATGATATTTTTTTCGTAACGCCCTCATAGACGTTGTTCAAATACCGGTGCCAACAGTTGTACAATTTTACGGACACACCTCGCACGATGAACGGGCCACCGTTGTAGTTAAGAAGTTGGGAAGATAAAGGGGAAATTTAACGCAGTATATCTGTTTTTAAAACGATTCTGAGCGGCGTTCGATCAAAAGTGTGGCTTTGTCAACAATATACATACGTCATATTATAGTAAAATAATTACATATGTGTTTTATATTTTCTTTAATAATAATTGTATAATATTGTACCTGTTTTCCTACGTTTTTCCTCATCCATTTAAAAAACTCATGGGAAATCAAAAAATGGCCTTCCTAAAGTACCAGTCCTGTCAGGTTTTCTTTTAGAAAAAGTTTAATAATTTAAAATCAAAATGGAATTGTTCATAGAATGGTAGTTCACAGATAAAAAAAACAACAATTTAATATTATTGTAAAACCAATACAATACTCGCTCCGCTCAGAAACTAAAATTCTAACTGTTGATAACGTCGAGGATATAGTCCGGATACGTAAATATTTGTGTAATTGAAATATGCAACGCATCAAAAATTATATGCTTAGTACGTCTGTAAAATATATTATGCACTAAACCTAGGGTTTTTGATACTTTGGGTTCCGGGCACCTTTTTAATCTATTTTATGAGATTACGCCCCCTTCATCACTATACAAGTAGAATTTATGAACACAAATGTGTATAATATTTTGTTCGGTGGGTTTTTGAAAATATTCTCGTCTCCCTTGAAATTTTGTCACGCCTCAATATAGGGAGCCGTGTCATCTAGGTTGGGTATCTTTGTACTAAACGATTCACCCGGCTTCGCCCGAGTTACCCGATAATTTTTTTAAGCACATAAACGAATAGAACGTATATTTAAACTTGTACAAATATTTTTATTGTGAAATTCGAGAATTTTTAATTAATGTATACAAAATATTCAACGCAAATATCGATAGTGATTTTGCATTTGAACAGAGTAAGTTTATAGAGCTTTTAACGTAATATTTGAAAATGTACGCTTGAAACTAGAAACAAAGATCAATACTGATATTGACAGTACTTTTATGGAATCTAAATTAGAAACGAACAAACGAAATATGTTTTAATAGAAAAAAAAACGCGAAAATATTTACGAAAATAAATAAATTACGGTTTAAAATAGAATTTATAGATTTCCACGATAATTGGACGTCCAATTTGATTACATACGTACAGATAATCGGAGTTCTGGTGTAGTAATTACAAACTAAGATTTCACTGTTATTTAATCAAATAAAGAATATGAAAAAATGAGAACTTTTAAGTACACATTTGGTACTGATCATACTTGATAAAGATTTGTATTGCATAATATTATGACGTCACCAATTCAAATAATTAATCAATGCCGTGTTTGCAGGAAACGAACCGTTTCCTGCGATTGATTTTTATTTTCGGTCACTGTATTTTACATAATAAATCGAATTAAAAACTTATTGATCCTATTAATTTCATTGATATCGAGAGGCCGAAT